GACTTCAATGGGGTATGGGGGGTACTTGATAACATGGGTGAATGTAGTAACCATAATGTCTTTCATGTGAAACCTTCATAGGTGTGCCTATCAGTGATATCTTAATTTAAAAAATGCAAAAATAATAATAATAAGACTAGTTCAACTACTATAAAGCACAAGTGGAACACAAGTTGGGCAGAACATTCTTAGTGCAAAGGGGAGTGCTGAGGTCAAATGTGAATGGGAAATGCAAGGCTGACAAGACTTAAATAGGTTTCTTGACAAGAGGACTACTCAGAGCCCTGAAGGCCAGTAAGCACTGCAGAGCTTTGAAAGGGGAACAAATTATTCAGCATTTTTGAAGTTCACTTGACTCCAAATCTCATGCTTTACAAATTTGCTCCTTCTGCATTAGAGAAACACTGTGACCAGGGGATGCAGATAAAAGTATAAACTATAATTCCTGGACTTCAAGGAGACGATGCTCTTCCTGGAGAAGCAAAGTTTATAAATGTGCACGAAGCAGTGATTGACATGTCACATAGCACAAAAGAATTTCAGGTAAAATAGGCAGGCAGAGAATCTGAGACACCTGGAGATGAGACTGTGAGAAAGGTATCGAAGCAGGGGTCCAAAGAAACCGGGCACAGGCAAGGCCCCCAGCAGGGCAGGATGGTGGGGAACCAGGCAGGAGGATGAGGGAGCGAGGGAGGGGGTGTGGCAGCCTTGTATAAATCCACCTTCACATTTGTTCAGTGAAACCCATCAGAGGGTTTTACTGGACAATCCACATACACTCAAAATTACAAACTACTTCTTGAATGTCTTATTTTAAAGCACAAATGATTACTATGACATCCTTCTGGACTAGCTTTTCTTCAAAGGACCAATTATCAATAATAAACATGTCAACTGGATGTTGAGAGGCTTCTGTGGGACCTCAGGCAGCCTACAAATACTCTGCTCCTCCACATATCCATGATTCCAAAACCCCAAAAGCTCTGAAACCCTTTAGTTCTTCTCCCTGACTCATGTTGTAGCAAAACCTTTCCTGAACTGACAAGAGGCTATTTATAGGATTTATTCCACTTGTGTAAATATCCACTCATTTTGCTGTAGCAATATTACTTATTTGATTAAGGAGTACGACCCTAGACCCCACTGGAGTGTTCTTTCTAACTCTTTCTAAACTCTTAAAACCTCTAAATTGTGCGATACAAGGGCTGCCAAGGGGAATGTGGACTTATAGTTCTTATTTATACCCTAGATTTATGTTCTCTGTGGAAAATGGGTTTGCTATGCAGCACAGCCTGTGGGGTGACTCTGATTCAAAGGGAAATTTCATCAGTGGTACTAGGTTTCCAATTGAATGGCTGCTTACCTCAGAGGATAAGAATGCCCAGAAGAAAACGTACCCCACCACAGACTTCCTGGTCTTCTGCCCCCAGAAGGAAGCTATTTTAATAGTACGTCACTCAGTAAGGAGGGAAAGCTCCACTTCCCTGGCCCTTGAGCTGGCAGGCAGCAGTGGTGGCTGCTCCGTCTGAAGAAAGCCTTTCTCTACCATCTCAGATGTCACTTACCACTTGTCGTCACAGCTCAGGAGCAGAGGTGGCTACCATGGCTGCTCCGATTCCCACGCTGAGACTGTCCTGTGTTTGCTAGAACAGGGAATGTTACTGATTTGCTTGTTGCCCACTGCTTAAGGAGAAAGAAGGCTGGACAAACCCAAGGAGCAGGCGAGCTCAAATCACCACCACCTGCAAAGCATCTCCACTCCCTGCTCCTGGCTCTCATGACTCCAGCTGCTCTCTTACAAAAGGAAGTTGACTTATGCAAGATTTACGAGGGAAATGTACAGCATCTGCTGGGAAAATCTAAGCCTTAGCCTGCTTAAAAAGCACAGAAAAAAATCTTCAAGTCTGAAAGAGCAAGGGAGGAAAGAAAGGAATAACCACTTTCCCTTAAAATTTGCAAACACCATTTTTTATGGAGTAGCCTAAAACCCAGACACAGCATTAGGTCAAGGCCCACAGTCCATCCATTTCTAAAAAGTTTGAATTAGATTCCTAATACGATCAAAAACATCAGGGCAGTATGAAGCACGGCTTTGCATAGGCCTAGCTTTGCTAGGTTTCTGACAGTCAACACAATAACAAGGACTTACTTTTTAATTCAGACTGAGATAATCCTTAAGCTACTATGCTCCAAACAGAGATTACTAACCTCTAAGGATTATTCTCAAGAACAAGTCACCAAAACATAACCTTATCCTTGTTCAGTGTGGTGGGCCTGAGATCAGACTTGACCTTATTGCCTCCATATTTACTTCACATAGCGCCAAGCACGGTGTTTGGCATATAGCAGATACTCAATAAACATCTATGGGATAAAGGAAAAATAAATCTATAAATGTTTTGGGGACTTGCATTGTCTTTGGACAGAAGTCTGGTTTTTTTTAAGGACAGGAAAAGATAAGTATAAGAGAGTCTGTTAAATTCTACAGATACAAAGGAATGGTTTTAGAAACACTGAGATTAGCAGAATTTATTCCATTAACCAAATGACAAAGTTAATTGAGCAAGAGAAAGGAAACCCCACATGCTGGCTCTAGAGAAGGCCCCCACGCTGCCAGGGTGGAAATGAAGCGAGGAAGAGCATCGTGTGGAACCGAGACGACAGCCACCAAAGTGGGACTCCAGGCTGGGTCCTGGGGGAAAACTCGCCAGAAGGCGGGCTAGGAAACGAAGAGTTGGAGGCCTAGAGAGTGTGTCTTCCACCTCACTCTATTAAATAATACTCTCCTGCTGCTCTGAGTCTCAGCCAGGTGTATAAATGGATTCAGGACACCCCCGCCCCCAGCTGATATAAGCTGCCACACACTAGGAGTACAAGTGTGCGGTCTTGTTTTTTACCTGTCAGTTGGCCCCATGAGCTGGGAAGCTGGGGGATGGAGGGCAAATAAGTGGTTCATTCCCAGAGGCAAGCAGCACTTGAGTTAAGGAAGCAGATGTTGGACACACCTGAGGCCAATCAATCCTGCTCACACCTCAAGCCAAAGACACAGTGCCCCCCACGCTCCAGCTCCAGTTCCAGCCTCCTTTGCATCTTCCTCGCCTTTGAGGGTCTTGCCACTCTCTGCCCTTCCTCGTCCCCCACCTTTGGACTCAGCTTCTCTCTCCTCAACAAGCCCATTCCTGCTAATGGCTGGTAGGAGTGGCCTGTCCAGCTTTCCACCTGGGTGTCTCCCCAGAAGTTACCCCTCTCAGGTTATCCCCTCCATTTCAGGAAACCCCAGACTATAGGGCCCTGCCCCACTCACCCCTGAGCCCAGCACAAGCCTCAAGTCCCCAGTTCTCTGGTCCCCCACTTGTCTGGGATCAGACTCCATGTACCAAGCACAAACCATGGTAATGTCTAGCTTAGTGGTTTGCAACGAAAATTAAACAAACCAAATGGAATAATAATGTCAGCTGGCATTTAGTACATGCTTACTGTGCACCAGACACTGCTCTACAGCCTTTACAAGCATGAACTCACTTGCTCCCCCAACCTCTCCCTGAGGTAGGTCCTACTGTTAACGCATTTCACAGAGGAGAAACTGAGCCATACAGAGATTAGGAAAATTACCCAAGGTCATAGGCTCGAACATGGCAGGGCCATTTTTCAAACCCACACAGTCATATTCCACAGCCCAACTCTGACCATGCTCCTATAATGTAGAAAAATACAAATGCATTCAGTCCCCATCTGCAAGGGGCCCATAACTCAGCAAAGGAAGCAAGCATAAACATTGGATTTTAGTCACAAATTCACAGGAGGTCATGCCTTCACCTTTATGATACCCTTCATACAACTGATACACATCCTACCCAAGTGCAGTTGCGAACTTCCGTCTATGAATAAAATAGAACTGATTACAACTGGAAGTACAGGACAAGTACACAATGTCTTTTAAAGCAGGAAGTTACTCATTGAGAAAATATATTTGGTTACTAATGGCTAAAAATGAAAGGACACATCTATAGCTGAAAAGACAACATATCTCACACCAAACCAAAAATAGGACATACAGTGAGATCCTATCTGAAAGCCTGGGAAATTCAGTCTAATGTTTGCTAATCCGACCTTCTAGGTTCTCTTCCCATAAAACTCACCATGGTAACATTTTAAGTGAGCCTAAAAGATGTTTCTAAAGGTATTCTAAGAGAATGTTGAAAAGCTGGAAAAGGAAACATAATGATCAATCCTTTTAAGAAGAGATAAATAATTAAACATAATGTTCTTCCACTTATCTAGATGCTTCTCATTCTCTTCTGATGCATCACTAATCTGATTCAGTTTTGAGTCAGACATCCAACAACTGAGCAAAAGAAAATTTGGATGCACACAATGGTGACACAGGTAGGACAGCCTCAGGCCAACACCAGAGCACAGGGTGGCAGAATGAAGTGACACATTGCCTCTAAGTGAACACCCACTTGCCATATTTCTAATGTTCCCCAGAAGAGCTTCTGGTCTATCTAGATGAATGATGGGGCACTGATAATACTGAAGACAGCAAGCCTGGGACTCTGCCCTGCCACAGCAGCTAGCATGAAAACGCAAGACTAACGCTCACTAATTGTCACAAACCACGCCCGTGGGTGGAGACGAAGCTGTGTACTCACCCAGATACTATGGGAGGTTTGCCTGACACAGAGCAGACTAAGTTCCTTGTCTATGGTGCTCAGGTGGGGCCACATTAGTGAGTTCTGGCCAAAACCCAGATACGATGGGAGGATCCCATGGGAAACTCCAAGACCTCAGATAGCGAAGCTACTGAATGAGCAGTAGACCAAGGCTTCCCTTTGCCCAATCCACCCCAGGCTGTGATGAGTAAGAAACAACCATTCACTGCATGAAATCATTCAGGCAATGGTTCGTTACAGCAGCTGCGTTACTCGCTCTGATGCGGCAGCTTGCCAGCTGTGCTCTCACTGTGGGGACGTCAGTCAGTCTGCAGCATCCACGCCTACCTGTGTCATTGCCAATGCAATCAATGATCAGGCAGATGCCCAGGGGCTTGCTCTCCATCCTATATCTCTCTTCTGGTACATGCTGGAAAGGAAAGCAGAGATTGTTAAAACTCTGGACACTGTTACTTCCCCAGAGTCCCACCCACATCTTTTCTTTTGGATTTCCTTAAACATCACCATGGCAGGTGAGTCACTCAACAGGGACAGCTTGAAGTCATCACAGCTGACATTTACCATTAATATAAAATTTTTCCTCTATTTGGGATGTGCTTAAATAGGCTATTTCAGTTTTTATTTAATTTTAATGAAAATGGCACTCTTTACACATGTCTTAGCTTTGCAGGATAAAGATCCGTTTGAAACAGAAAAGATGGGTCATATGTTCCCATAGTAACTTGAGGTTGTGCAAGTGAGCTTTCCGAACTAGTATGAAAGGAGGACTTCTATTGCCTGTCCTTATGGAGATACGCCAAAAAAAAGCCCGAACAAGTTAAAGTTCAGAGTCCCTGCCTACTTTTATGGTCAGCAATCACCCAACTGAGAGAGGAAGTGTCACTTTGGAATTTTCCTGCATTCCTATGGTCACTGATGCAATTTTCACTTCAACAGCTTTCTCTTTGCTACATCCCAGGTTCCCCTTTGGATGAGTTCTCAGGAGGACAGGACTCTCAGCATGTTACAGTTGTCATAAAGAATCCTTAGTGAGCAGATATTTTGAAAGAAGTCAGTGTTCTCTACAGATACTGTGAATGCAATACAATACCAAATCAGGTCAGTTATTCTGTACCTGAGGCAAACACGCTCCTGATTCCTGAATGGATGTCTTCACGGGTTTTCCTGGGGGATGAGAGAGAAATCATTTACAAAGCTGAAGGAGAACTAAGCCCACTCCTATGCTGGCTGAGTGTCTTGATATCACAACTGTTCTCTTCCCATCTTCTTCCCCCTACTATCTCCTTTCCTCAGCTATCCTCAACCCCAAGGCTCTAACCTCACCCTGAAGAACCTGATAAGAAAGCACAGGGCCCCATGCTAAGCAGGGTTATGTAAAACATCAGCTTAATCAGCAAGCACAAGAAGGTTTTCCCTTGCCCTCCTCCCTTGCCCTGTCACTAGAGCACAGGTGAATTTTTAACCTGATAGGGAGAATCTAATAACCTCCCCACTCAATAATATCAACAGCTTTCCTCCATGTGCTTAAGTTGTGCCTAAAGGCAAGAGCTGTAGAAACTACAGAGAGGGATGGTTTACTTGTGTTTGCCATTTAGAGAGTAGGTGGCCATTTTTCCTTAGTCCAGTGATATCGGGAGATTATAAAATAAAATGTCAGTGGCAAGACAGAAGACAGTGAACCTAGCAAATGTGGATAAGCTTGAGCCAATTTCATTAGATAAAATGACTTCATCAGCCTAGCGAGACAGAGAAACCACCAGTTTTAAAGCCATAAAGGCCTGGCTCAAACCCTGACACCATCACTCACAAGCTCTGTGATTGTGGGCAAGTTTCTCCTGAAGTCTCCGGGTTTTTGGGTTTTTGATTCAAATTTCTAAGATGAAAATACCAACATCTACTTTATAAGACTGTTGTAAAATTTAGAAACAATATCTAAAGATAGGTAAATACAATGCCAATATTGGTAAGGTTTGGGGGAAATAAATATTTTCTCATGTTAATACTCTGTATGTTGAAACAGTCTTTTAAAATCCCAAATGGCAATACCCTTTAAACCAACGTTCTACTTCTAGAAGTTTATTTTGAGGAAATAATAGAGCAAGTATGCAAAAATGTGTATCAGGGATATCCCCTGAATGACTGTTTATAAGGCCCCAGACTTTTAAGAATCTAAAAGTCTACCAACATCAAAATGGTTTAAAAAATTACAGCACATACAATGGAATACTATACAATGTTAAAAAGGATTAGAGAGAGCTTTACGTATTTGACATAAAAAGATATACAGGATATACTAAGTGAAAAACGGATTCTTGAATAATAGGTACAATGTACTTAAAAACATGTATTTGTGTGCATATACTTACACACATATATACTTATAAATAAGAGTCTAGAGGTGCATAAATCAAACATTAACAGTAGTCATCTGATACTTGGAATTAAGAGGAAGCTTCTCTTTATTTTTTGTATTTTTGCAATCATGGATTAATAGAAAAACAACAAAATAATCTGTGTACTATGCCTATCTCATTTTAAGACATTCAGCAAGAGCTTAATTGGAGTTACATCATTGTTATCATTCAGGTGAAATCTATTTGGAAGTCCAACTTAATATGAATACTTGGGTTTTATTATTTTAAAAGTCTCTTAGATTAAGGTCAAGCTGTCAGAATGCTTTTTTCTTTTATTAGCAAATAAACCAAGTCCCGGCAAAAGCAGGCAACTAGCTCTGGCAAGGCTCACCAGCAGTGTTGGGAGTCGCTTACCTCACCTGTGTAAGCACAGCCAAGGATAAACCTGCCAAAAGGAAGCGTGATGGAAAAAACACCAATTGCTTTTAATTCCTACCCAAATCTGTTTTCCCTTTAAATAGCTTTTGGAATGCTAATTCTCACCACTTCACCAGTGTTTGAAGAAACGCGCAGTCACTTCAGAATTAATTCGCTTCTCAGCAGCTTTTGCTGGAAAGCAGAATAGTAGGTAGGGAAGGACAGGCATCCACTGTACCATCGGGCTACTGCGGACACAGTGTTTCTCAGTTTCTGGGTGCGTGCAGACAGCAGGGAGGCTGAATCGTAGGATTTTGGCAAGGGGCCTGCCACACGAAGAAGGCTGTCATCAGGCCACTGCCCTACTTCCAATCTTCACATCCCTTCTGCCCACAGGACAAATTCCAAGCCCTTCAGGGGAGAATGAGCCCACCTTGCCTGCCCACCAACCCCTGCCTCCTGAGTCCTGAAGCACTGCAGTGTGAGACCGAGTCTCAGACCTCACTTCAAACAGTACTCAAGCAAAAAAAACACACTTTTAAAAAATGATGTTATGGGACAGTGCTGATGTTTTAAGAGAGATTGTATGAGTTGAAATGACTAGTTTTTATTGCTTTTTTTCTTTCTTTTCAAGGGCAGGGAGATGTCATCTATAGATTATCTAGATTTATTAAATGGCCTGCAAAACAAGATCCCAGTAACCTTTCTTCTTCCTGTTGCTAGATATATAATTTAACATGGTTCATTATAACAGCTAGCTTAATGTTTAACATAGCTTGTTGATAGTTCCATTTCAGATATAAATGTCACATCTCTTTAAAGTGTAGCCAAGATGAAGCTGTTGGAGTAAGAGGCATTTAAATTTAAATAAGCTAATTCAAAAGTTAATTAGAAATACCAAAAAATATATTTTAAGAACTTAACTTTCTTTATTTTGAGAACTTAATTAAAATATGGAGATAAAGGAAATGGCCAATTCTAAAAGTGCAACATTTTGTACTTGAATTATCAAGCTTATGAAGAATGAATATAAAGCAAAGTTGGTCTTACTTTGTTTGTCAAGGTTTTCCACAATGAGTCTTTGTTCTTTACTTCTCCCATTCTGGAGCTTCAAATACAAAGAATAAGGTCATACTCCCTGTTAGTTTTCTCAAAGACACATTATATTACACCTCTTTAAATATCTCAATAGGATTCTTACCCAGGAGAAAATAAAAGTATCACATTCACAGTTAAATTATCTAAAGAATAGCAAGGGCCATTAACTCCATAAATCCCATAGTCTATAGTCAAAAAACAAGGCAACTCTTCTTTCTAAAAAGTGAAAATACGATGAATGTGTTAATATGCCAAACTAGCATATTAGGATGTTTCCAAATAGTTCAATAAAGTCAGCTGTTATGATAGAGTAGGATGACTGCCATAGCTCCAATTAAAAGAAGCTGTTGGATCATGCAGCTGACATTCAACCTGATCCTTTAACACAGAGGCAAGATATGGTATGGTTAAGAATGGGAGCTCTAGCCCAGACAAACATGGCTATGAGTCAGGCTATAAGCTTGAGCAAGTTGTTTAACCTCTATGTCTTTTTATCTTTAAAATGAGGATAATAATAGTACCTACCTTATACATTTTTTGTGAAGACTACATGTACACACAAAGCACTCAGCACAGTGCCTAGCACTCAGAAGTGCTTAATCAATGCCCAGTTATTATTTTTCTATAATGCTTAGCTATACCTAAGCCACATGTGAGCCTGGTTCTTGAAAATTAGCTACCACTTCTGAGGTCTAGAGTGGGATGAATCAGAAAATGAAAGATTGAACCGACCCTTTCTCTTCTCAGATGACAGCTCCTTTGCAAGGCACACATACCACATACTGTCAACCATCTGATATGCTCAGCTTTCAAATGACAGTTCTCCTCTGAAGCTATCCTAGCCAAAAGAGAGAAGTATACTCTTCATTAAGCTGTGTCTGTGGCTAAGTCTGTGTGTCTAAATTAAAGAAAAACATGTAAGTTGCTTTTTTTCATTACTGAAAGGTGACTTAGCCAGAAGTTGATGGTATTACCCCACATGGATGTGCATTCACTTTTACATACTATTCGAAGAGTTATAACCTCAAATCAAAGCTAGATTTAAAAAGCATTATATTGCAGAGTCACACAACTTTTTTATTCTATAAATATATTGGTATCATGGGGCACTTAATGCCAAGGTGATTTTTAAGGATTTTGTGAGAAATTCGCTGTTTTCATATATCACAGTGCCTGCTTACTAACTGATGGAATGATCAGGGTCACAGATTAATATAACAAATTTAAGGAGAAGTTTATATACAAATTGTAGGTCCCAATTGGCTACCTAGATAATGACTATGATTAATTAACAAAACAGAAAGACAATAGTAAAAATATGGCGGCCTTTTAACTAAAAATGACAGTATAATTTATATTAGATATATAATACCAGACAAAGTTCAGAAAATTTGGATCTGAATCCTTCATCAATTTGTCTCATGAATTGGAATCACAGAGATTCAGAAGGACAAAAGAATGCGTATTTGAGTCTTGAAAAAATGGCAGATATATATAAGCTATAGCAAGACTAATATGTACTTTATTAAATACACCATGATACGGAGGAAGGAGCAAGGTCTGGGCCCAGTTCTGGCAGTAGGCAGAGGTAGACAATCACTTGATGTTCTTTAGACCTAAGATTCCTTACTTGTTCAGAGTTCAATTTGTTCAGCACTGTTGGACAATATAATCCTTAACATCCATTTTAACTCTGGAATTCTATATGTCAGTGGTATCTCTTACAGCTCACATTCTCCACAAAACTATGTAACAAGGGTAGATGTTTTCACCACATACTTTCATGAAAGTATTTATAATTTAACCATGAAATTGCACTGTGGTCTAAGTCCTGACTACAAATTCCACACACCTTTATAAGGGGATGAGGATATTACACTAAGATTAACTTCTCACAATAAAAAATTAACCAAAGAGTAAACATAATGTTTCTCATGTAATTGTAGATTAATGATACCAAAATTTAAAAAAAATTAAGCAAAGAATAATCCTTATGATACCTTGCACTAGTAACACAACATCCTGAAGTGACTATGTGATATGGTCATAAATCAGTCACTCAATTACATCACTCAATAACAAAACCACTTTGCTGAAATAATTAAAAGAAGCTCATAGGAAGCAAATGCACAGAGGGGTAAATACAGGGATATTTACTCTGAAGCACTGTTTGTATCAACAAAAGATTGGAAACAATCTAAATACACACATACATAAGAAAGGACTATACATATTATGTATTTGTATCAAAGTTCTGAAACTGTTTCAAGCAGGGATTCCATACATTTGCTCAGACTCACCCTGAAGTTATATGAAGGCTCCTTAAGACTCAACTTTGGGAAAGATGCCTCAAAAGCACTTGCATAACTTGTTCCTGCTCCTTGAGCTAAAAGCAGAAGAGAGGCACTGAGTTATGATTTGTAAGTTACTATCAAACAAGACTTCAACAATGGCTCAGTCCAGGGCCTATAATCATCTTTCAAAATACCCTGAACTTTCCAGCCACCTTACTGAATTCAAAATACCAGTTCAAATGACTTTTCCACCAACATCACTAAGAATAGGCTAAAAATGCTACTCCTGTTGATTTTTATCAAGCATTTGGGGGTGGGGAGATTGTCTGTAGATTGCTGGGTCTTAGCCATGCCCTTTAGGCTGTGACTCTATGGGGGCAGTGGACTACTAACAGGGCCCACACTGAGGCTGAGTCTAAAAGACATGGGGGGTGTAGCCTGAGAGAGAATGCCAAGGTGAGCTGGTCCCCTTTAGGATGGGAGGGGTTATCAGCAGGAAAGGTCCCTTTTTATGAGGTTTTGTGGAAACTCAGGGCACATGCAAGACAGCTATGGGACACCAGGGACAGGATACCACCCAGAGTCGGATGGTGGTCAGGCCAAATACTGGAGCAAAGCAGCAGGGCTCAGAATAGACTCAGACGTCCTGAATATTCACAATGCCACCAAGCTGTGCAGAAAACAGGGGTGCAGACTCTCTCTTCAAGGCCAGAAATGCTCAGAACTGCTTGGTGGCATTGTGCAGAGGAGCAAGACTCTTGTGGTCATGGCATGGTGTGCTGAAGTCAGCAGACCGGGCGAGGAAGGACATAAAGGGGATCTCCAGCCACAGGCTAGTGGGGACTGTGGAAATTCAGGTTCTGTTCCATCCACCCATCCAACAAATGGATCCTTACCAACCAAACCTACAAGATTCTTTCCTTAGGCCACAGAGAGGCCAAAATTCTACTTACCAGACTGCTTGTATTTCTGAATTTTTGTCTTCAGGTCTATTCTGTGGATGTTCTTTAGGCATTTTTCTAATAAATCCAATTGATCCGGAGCAACCAGACTTAGTTTCTCTAATTCAATCACAAGATCCAAGAAACTCTAAGAGAGCCACCAACAAGAAACAAATGTCAGTAGGGCTCTTAAGCCCCAGCTGCAAACCTCAAGCCATGCGATTTATGAGAGCAAGAAGATGTGACAACAGGAGCCCCTTCTGTAATCTTCACTGACCCTAAATCAGACCTCTTTGCTACAGTCCCTCCAAGGCCAGGAACAAATTCCACTCCTGGATTTTCCTCGGGAAAGAGGTAGTGGTTAAGTCTTTCGGTGGCCAACCTGGACCTAGATTGGGGACAGATGCACAAGCCATTTTGTGTCATCAAGGAGTATTGGGAGAAAGCAAGCCTAAAATAAAATCTCCTGAGTTCACTCTCACCCAAAAAGTCAGACTGGTGTTATATTGAAAAATTGTAAGGGCTTTCCTGAAAAAGGAATAAAGAAGGTAGCTGAGGGAAAGTTTTCCCTAGAAGAATCCCAAACATCCAATTTTGAAGTTCCTGAAATATTTTAATCAGTGCTAGACATTCCAAAGCATTTTGACTGGGGTATAAGGTAGTATAGTAATATTACAAGTTACGGCACTTTGCTGCTTACCTACCCTGGAAGCCACAGGGACTGTGAAAGAACTTTATTTCAGAAATGGGCATTACTCTGGGTGTTGTTTCCCTTCCGTTTGACATTTGGTTACTGACATGCTATCTTTATTTTTAAAAAGAATCATCATTATTAAACTAATATAAATGATTGGGAGACAATTTGACTAGGGGACACCAAAAAAAGGACTTATATTTTTTGCATTTTCCTTCCCATTTTGCATTTGATAGTAGGGTTGCCTACAATCACCCTATCTCCCCAAATTCCAGAAACAAAACTACAGCCATTAAGGAAATGAGGAAATTCTCAAGCAATGACTTACCAGAGTCCTCAGAGATAAGTGCTTTAAGATCATACTGTCAGATACTTCAGAGACCTGAGGTTTTTCTAGTCTATCTTTAGGCCAGTAGTATCATCTAGGGCCAGTTGGAATTTAAATACTTTTCCAGCAATTACAATATCCCTGAGATCTTGACCCCTACCTAGTTTTCAACCCCAAATCTCTTACTTTTGCCATTCCCCAGCAATTACAATATCCCTGAGATCTTGACCCCTACCTAGTTTTCAACCCCAAATCTCTTACTTTTGCCATTCCCCAGATACATCAGCTATGAGCACATTCCCCAACCCATCTCCACATGCAGCTTAATGACTCCACAGTTACCTTGAGCTAGCTGAGGAGCAACAGATGGCAGTAGGGCAGCAAGATGGGAGGGAACTAGCACCTCCCACCTGCTTCCACTCAGTACAAGCAGATGGGACTTCCTAACCCTCCCAGATGATCTGTCTAACCAGGAAGAGAGACTGATGTGTTAGCCAGGCCTATGAATTGTACAGAAGTAAAGATAAAATACAATCAAAGGAACACCCGGGGCTGTACCAGAAGATATCAACCTATTTCCTCTCAAATCATAAATAAATTCTCTTCACATCAAAGTTATTATGAAAAAACACATACTCTTCTCACTTCCCACCTTCAGTCCCAGCATGAGCCTGTCCGCTCAAGTGACCACTGCCCTGTCCTCACACCACTGAGAACACCCTCACAACCTCTAATAGGCGCTTGAGAACACGAACCAAGAAAAAGAAAACTCACCTTATCCTTGGCTATCTTGCCTCGGCCCATATAATCCCTCATGAGGAAAATTAATGAGGACACATCAGATTTATCCAAATCCTCACCAATCTCCATCATCAGCACCCTATAAACCAGAGAAGTTTCTTTAGTAAATTTAGATACCAGTCCTGGTGAGAACACCAAGAGCCTATGCCTCCTCTATGTCAATAATTGGTTAAAAGACCAGTTCTTGCCCCCATTTGAATGTGCCCCCTCCATAAAACAAAGTCCAAATCACCCCAGGAACAGATCTCAAGGGAACTAAAAAAGGAAACTCTTCCCTTCCTGTTTTTGATAAGAGATGGTAACTTTCTTTCCAATTAATTTCTCTGAGGTTTTTCTAGTCTATTTTTAGGCCAGTAGTATCATCTAGGGCCAGCTGGAATTTAAATACTTTTCCAGCAATTACAATATCCCTGAGATCTTGACCCCTACCTAGTTTTCAACCCCAAATCTCTTACTTTTGCCATTCCCCAGCAATTACAATATCCCTGAGATCTTGACCCCTACCTAGTTTTCAACCCCAAATCTCTTACTTTTGCCATTCCCCAGATACATCAGCTATGAGCACCTTCCCCAACCCAACTCAGAGAACAAAAACTTCCCTAAAATAATCCCCCAGATCCCCCACAAGTTATGATGAAATAAATGAAGAACCTAATGACTAGTTTGAAAGACAGAAATAGAATCCAAAGTGATCTTGTCTTCTCTGTTTGACAAGTTTCCCGGTGACACTGATCCTACTGACCTAGGGCTCATACTCTGAGTTGCAAGAGCTAAAGCAAAGTAACACCTGGGATGTCCTGGCCCACTTCCAACCTCAAAGGTTAAACAGCACCTGGGTCCTGGGATTGTGAGCATAGATGTCTTTGTTTAGAAAAGCCCCTGGCTCAGTGACCTCTGCTCCAATTAGAGCCACCATCACACTGTACTGGGGGTCCCAGGACACCTCGTGGCTAGCCATTATTGCCTTGACATTGTCATCACTGCTTAGAAAGCCAATTTCCCACTTAGACTGACTCTTGGGGATCGAAGAGGCTTCGTTCTTTTTGCTCTAACACTTAGCAAACACCTGGCATAAGTCAACCCACAGTGAAGTCCACTGAAGATGAGCAAGTAAGCCTGGCATTCTCCTCCGACTGCCAGCCTCTGTGCAGAGGCTCTGAGGAACTGCCTCCATTCACCACAATGAGGACACAGGAAATGGAGAGCGTACCCTGATTTGGTCACTGAAATAAACTGCTTCTAAAAAAGGTTTAGGAAGGTTACTGACACGGTGGTTGGAGAGGTGGAAGGTGATCAAGAGTGACAATGGCAACAGTAATAAGCCTTTGCATTTGTACAGTGCCTCAGTATTAAAAAGTACTTCAATACTAAATCATTACAACTGATCTTGTGAAATTAGATATTATTATTCTTAGCTTTACAAGTAGGAAAACAAAGGTCCAGCCAACGTGGGTGGCTGGCTGACTTTACGTGGCCTGTAACTAGTAGTTCTGAGGCTTGAATCAGGCCTTCCAATCTCAAGTCTCAGACATTTCCCAAGGCCCATACTGCTCTCAACTCTCCTTAATAGTTCTTAATACACACCATCTCCAAAAATGCATTATCATTATAACCAGGGTCTGGAGTAAAAGGAACCACTACTTTAAGTTGACAAGTTCTCTTTCTTACTTCAGAAACACAGCCTTTCCAGTGGTTTTTGTATTACTCCAAGAGAGTATTATGTGAACATGAGGGAAAACAACTCAGAAGGATGTCTGAATGAAGGGGGACACCAGCAGCCGTTCTTCTCTGAGCTGAAGAGCGCCTACAGGTGGTTAGTAGAAAAGAAGTTCCGTCTGGATCCCTCAGAGCCTCTAGGGGCACAGGCCCCACAGAAATGCACAGAAAGGGAGCCAACCGCACTAACTTCCTCAACAGGGGAATGATCAGTGGGGATTCTGGAGGGATCACAGTTTTACAAAGATAAGGAAGCTCACTGGCAGACTTGTTATTTCCTTTCTCAGGACTGGAAACCACCAGTCTGACGTCACAGAAAATCAGCTAGCAAAGACCACTGCAGATCTCACAGAGGCTGGCAAGAATTACTAGCTCTTAGTACTCCCTATCTCATTCTATGCATCAGGCAAACACATACCATCCAGCCTTCCACTTTCATTAGGATCCTCCACCCCATTACTTTAAGCACACACACTCTATGAATTCAAAGAGTTCTAAGGACTGGAGAAACATCATACAGCAGTTAGATCAGTGGATAGAGAAAGTAATGTGCTGGCTTTTCTCTCTGTCTTCATTTCTTTCACTCAGAAGTCTAGACGGCCTCACTCCCTCCCACTGGTCCAGCCACAGAGAGAGCTGATGAATTACCTATAGTCTGAAACAAGGCGAGGGTGCTTGAGCAGGTGGGCCTCCACTGCTGTTTTGTCTGTCTTCAAAATTCGCTTGAGCAAGTCAAATCGCCTCACTCTGTACAGCAGCTCAGCCAAGCCTATGGCAGACAGCACTCCTCTTTCACTTAAAATATCCAGAAGGTCCCTGACGTTCAGTGGAGCCACATCTGCAGTAACGTCACGGCACAAAAAAAGAAGCATCTCCTTCTCATCTTCATCAAGTGCCTCTTCAACCTGATGAATAACCTCAGCAGACATTCTGTACAGTGTCATTTCAAGGAACTCTAGTAGCGAGCGTCCAGGACAGTCAACAGAAAGCTGTGAGGCTGCTGACTTCATTGCTGATGGTTTTCTTCATTTCTTTCAGAATCTTTTCCAATGGAGGCATTCTGTGGTTAAAAGGGAATTTTTAACAATCCGCTAATCAAAGTAACTTATGCTTAAAATTCAAAGTATAGACTCTTCCTGTCTTGCTGGTCTCTCCAACCTCCCAGATTAAATTCACACTAAGTCTACAGAAAGCAACCCTCAGTAGACAAGCAACTAATCCAAAAACCAAGACAGACAAAAGAAGATAACTTGTATTTTAAAGGAAATGAAACTAGAGACAAATTATCTCCAAAAATTCCCACATGCTTTATCAGAATTTAGCAGAATATAGAGTGGTAAGGGGAAAATCACAACTGGACAGTTAATGACTAAGTGGCAAATAAATGACTCTGTGGGACAAAGAGGAAAAATGCTATGACTCAGCAGCTGGCTGGCTAAGAGAAACTGGGGTCACAAGGGTTCCTCCCACAGTTGGTGACCTCATCCACACGGGCCTGAACAAACAGGGCTCTTAGAAAAAGGGGCTCTCTGCGGGGTATCAAAAATTATGGGAGGAAAAAAAACCACTAAACAATAAATAAATAAATAAATAAATAAATAAATAAATAAATAAATAAATAAATAAATAAATACGAAAATAAGAAAATAAAGAAAAAAAAATGATGGGAGAGGAGAAGTTTCTGTCCTGACCCCACATGCTTTTTTCTAGTTGTCCTGCTCTAAAGCCCTTTACTCACACCTGTAAGTAGAAGCTTCCACCATCCTCCCAAAGTCCCAGCCCTTTCCACAGGTTCCATAGGACCTGCCATGACAGCTGAACAAAGGCCCTATCAAGTTTGGAACACCTCCTCAGACCCTGAGTCCCATGGAAGTGCGTGGAGCTCCTGACTCAATACATTGCTAGAGGGCAGCAAAAACCACTAGATTCCTGATGGTATCAAGTGCAAGGAAGTGGAACAGAAGAGGTGGGAAAAGAGCTCGGTCCTGGGAGGGAGCTTGGGTGGGAGAGGTGGGGAGATCACGCCACGGCTGTATTCCTAACTTCTCCCACTGGAACTTAACCTATTCAAAATTTAAGTTGCAAATGACAGTCACTGTCTACTAAAGTTTCACAGTTACATATTATGTTAAATAATCTCGTGTTCTGGGAGAGCACCTTGTCTGTTTCTATCAGAGAACATTTCAAGTTAAAAGCTAATCTTAGCCAGAAATAATTAGAAATGCAACCCAATTGTAAGTTGCGATTACTACAATGTGCGTAAATACATTTACATGTTTATCTAGCTATATTTAGTGAAAGGAACATGGAATTTATTTTATTTATTTATACACAATCTTGGTATACAAAAGATTTGAGGCACTTTACAACAACACATAAGTAGAAAAAACTTTTATATGAGAACAAGGGGGGGAAATTTAGGTAGCAAGTTGAAATGGATGGAGGGGTAGAGAATACAGTGTAAACACCAGGCCAGAAATGCCTAAACAGATTTTCATAAACTATGAATTTGTCCCTGAGCTTCTTGGCAAAAAGGGATATACAGGAAGGTAGTTCTTGCTCTCAAATGCAAAACAGTATCTTAAAGGAGGCACAATTTCCCTAGAGTTCCAGAGTCCCCATCAATGAAAATACTGATCAGTATTTAAGTATCAAAGTAACAAATTATGTGTATTTTTAATTTTTTTATACATGTGAAATATTTTATTTAAAAACAGACCTTTCATTCACACTTTTTATACTGGCCGTCCCATGACCAGTCTAAATGGGTGAGCTCTTAATAAAAATAGACATATCACCTTACATACACTTGTTAATAAGTATTGGTGTGTCTCTGCCAGTCCCATCTGTGCACAATCACCTAAACTTTGCCTAAATACAGCCATTGTGTATTTAATGACTGGAGATACAAAATTTACTAAATGGTTGCTCAATGAAAATAGAACTGTAACTCAAACTATTTTATTTTAATCTGAAAGCTGAATAATAATTGTGTTTCAGAGAGCCTAAATCTATCTATATTCTACCTCCAGGCTAACAGCATGTTAACCTAGCCACTAGTTTCCATGAAAGAAGGTCAAATTCTTTTTCTGTTTGCTAAGAGTCACAATTTTGTTATTAGTTGTTATTATAAATTAACCTGTAAAATATTTATATGCACTAGAAGATATAAAGTAACTAAGAGGTCACTAAACACAAGAAGAAATGAAATGTTATCTAAATTCGCTAGACACATCTGAAAAAGAACCAAAGGGAATTACTAGAAATGAAATATTCAATTCTCTATTTTTAAAAACAGTAACTAACTTTTGTAATTCATAATTATCAGTGATAGAACAATACCATCAGAGTTAAAATCTGATACTGATTTTTAAAAATTATCTGCTCAGTTCAGTCCCTCCAACCATTATACCCCAGACTGCTTTCTGCCAGTCACGCACACTCAGCATGAGAACTGGCAGATTGTCTTCCCTTTGTACTAATGGAGGTACAGTTTGGCAGCAAAATCCAAATTACTCAGTGGGAGCATCTGGCATATTCAGAGAAAATATCAGAAGGAAAACTACAGATCCCATGCTGAGCCAAGCCAACCAGATGCAGTAAAATACCCACGTGTGTATGCTGGGTGGTGTTGGGGCCGTTAATTGTGGTTGGAGGTGATGGGCATCTGAGACAGGGGAGCATGAAGGGAGAAGTAGGATCCAAATAATCACTACTCTGTTGGGGTTTCTTTTAGCGTAAACCAAGAAATTAACATAAAAAGTACTCTTAGACTAAGGTAGTCTACCCCATAAGGCCACCCTCATCACCCAGGGCACATGGGACATCAGTTCTGCACCAAGTGCACTCATGTTTAAAAAATACTGACAAAAGCAAAAATGAACTCACGGAACTACATCAAACTAAAAAGTTTCTGTGCTGCAAAGGACACCATCAACAGAACAAAAAGGCATCCTACAGTATGGGAGAATATAATTGTTAAGGACATATCCAACAAGGGGTTAACATACAAAAAATAAAAAGAACTCACATTTTTCAACACCCAAAAAGCAAATAACCCGATTAACAAATGGGCAGAGGACATGAAGAGACAGGTTCTCCAAAGAAGAAATTCAGATGGCCAACAGGCACATGAAAAGATGTTCCACATCACTAATCATCAGGAAAATGCAAATTAAAACCACAATGAGATGTCACCTCACACCAGTAAGGATGGTCAGCATCGAAAAGACTAAGAACAACAAATGCTGGTGAGGATATGGAGAAAGGGGAACCCTCCTACGCTGCTGGTGGGAATGTAAGCTAGTTCAACCACTGTGGAAAGCAATATGGAGGTTCCTCAAAAAACTATAACTAGAAATACCATTTGACCCAGGAATCCCACTCCTTGGAATTTACCCAAAAAATACAACTTCTCAGATTCAAAAAGACATATGCACCCCTATGGTTATTGCAGCACTATTTACAATAGTCAAGATATGGAAGCAACCTAAGTGTCCATCAGTAGATGAATGGACAAAGAAGATGTGGAACATATATACAATGGAATACTATTCAGCCATAAGAAAGAAAAATTCTACCATTTGCAACAGCATGGACGGAGCTGGAGGATATTATGCTCAGTGAAATAAGCCAGGTGGAGAAAGATAAGTGCCAAATGATTTCCCTCATTTGTGGAGTATAACAATGAAGAAAAACTGAAGGATCAAAACAGCAGCAGACTCAGAGACTACAAGAAGGGACTAGTGGTTACCAAAGGGGAGGGGTGTGGGAGGGTGGGTGGGGAGGGAGGAGTATTATGTTTAGTACACATGGTGTGGGGGATCACGGGGAAAACAGTGTAGCACAGAGAAGGAAAATAGTGAATATGCAGCGTCTTGCTGCACTGATGGACAGTGACTGCACTGGGGTATGGGTGGGGACTTGATAATATGGTTAAATGTAGTAACCACATTGTTTTTTCATGTGAAACCTTCATAAGAGTGTTTATCAATAACACCCTAATAAAAAACTAAAAAAAAAAAATACCATGCACAGAAATAAACATCAACATGACACTAGACAAAACAAATAAAATACACACCCTAGGAACCTAAATCTGAAAGACTTTAAGATAAACATCAAAATGTTCAAGAAGATAAGGGAATTTTCTGCAATATGATAGGCTAAATCAATGGTTCTTAGTCAGGGGCAATTTTGCCCTGCAGGGGACATCTGACAGTGTCTTGAGACATTTTTGGCCATCATAACCAGATGCTGCTACTGGCATCTAGAGGACAGAGGCCAGGGATGCTGCTAAATATTCCACACTGCTCATTGCCCAGAACAGAGAATCATCCAGCCCCAAACATCAACAGTGCCAAGACTGAGAAACCCCGCACAAAATAAGCTGAAAAAACTAGCTATCATATAAACTGAAATGCTGAATAAAACAAAAACATTTGCTGAAATACACAACTGAGTAGGTAAGGAAGCAAGTATAATTGTGGGGAGCCAAAAAGAAAAAATAGCTAAAAACGACTGTGATAGTTATTTAAGATTTACCACACATGATAGTATCAAAATGGGTAACATTGTATGAATGATTCTAACAAGAGATATGCAAAACATTAACAGGGGAAAACTATAAAATATTTTTGGGAAAGTATTAATAAAGACTAGATAAATGGAAAGCTTTACTTTGTTCATGAATAGGGAGTGAGTTCTCTAAAAAACTCATCTATAGATTAAAAGCAAGGGACATAAACTGCTTATAAGACAGCAATTTATAAATACTTAAATAGTAATTACAGGAAAAAAGAGAAAAGCCCACAGCAAATACTGTACTTAATGGTCACATGTTAGAAGCATTCCCTTAAAAAACAGGCTCAAGACAAGGATATATGTGATCATCCCTTATTCAACATTGTACTGGAGGTTAGAGTTCACACAGTATCTATGGTTATTCACATTTATAGGGGATAACTTGGGATCCTTTCCTCACACCATATACAAGTCAATTCCACATGTACTAAAGTCCTAAACATAAAGTTCTAGAAGAAAATCTACAAGAATATTATT